GTTTCAGAGAAAGAAACTAAAGCTGCTGGAATGGCCCAGCCAATCACCTGACCTGAATCCAACAGAAAATCTATGGAAAGAACTAAAGATCAGAGTTCATAGAAGAGGTCCACGAAACCTTCAAGATTTGAAGACTGTTTGTGTGGAAGAATGGGCCAAAATCACACCTGAGCAATGCATGCCACTAGTTTCTCCATACAGGAGGCGTCTTGAAGCTGTCATTGACAACAAAGGCTTTTGTACAAAGTATTAGATAAATTTCAGTAAGTGTGTTCAATAATTTTTCCCTGAGCCATTCCACATTATTACAAATAACTTCATTTCTGGACATTTATGGTTGCTTTCTTTGTATGTATGGATCACTTGGGTTGTTACCGACATCCGGTGAAAATTTCTTGTCATTAGCACCTCTAGTAATATATTTCCTGAGAAAAATGGTGACGTGTTCAAAACTTATTTTACCTGCTGTATGACCCAGAAAGAATTTAAGGATATTTTTGCAGCACTGAAAAAACTAAATTCAAATATTCTGCATGCACAGCGACTCCAAGTACACAACAAAATGTATTTAATGGCTAAAAAAGAGGATTTTGTATGACATGTCCCATGGACACTGTTGTTCAAACAAGCTTTTAGTGTGTTACTTAATGTTTAAGATACTAACTTGTTTTTCATATGATTTTATGCTTATATTTTGTGTTTGTATTTTAGTTTTGCTCTTTTTGGAGCATGATGTCCATTTTTGAAAAGTGCTATATAAATAAAATATTACTTGACTTTGTGCCCTCACGTCCTTAAGTGTCAAGATTTGTATGATATTTTTTTGGTATTTTTAATAATAGGTTTAGTTTCCTTATGTTGTTCTGTCACTGGTCTCTCAGCTCAGGCTTCTTCAGTTTAGTTCAGTGTACATCATTGTTCAATTTCTGCCCAATTTGTAATTACAGGTAAAGGTATGCCTAATAAAGAAACTGATAATTTAGTCAGCACTTAAAAATGTTAAAGTAGTGAAATCCTTTTTAAATGTGGCATTTAGTATCGAGGAAACAATCAAGTGAGCTACCTGAGTGCACACATCACTGCTTGCTAACTTTCTGGAACAGTGATTCACTGAGGGAGAAGAAGGGACTTAAGCCCGCCTTACTTATTGCAGTAAACACCACAACTGTTGGAAAAATCCAAACAAAATCGTGTTGATGTTATTCCCTGAGGTAATTCCACGCTCACTGATGCATGGCCAAACACACCGTACTGAGACGGCACAGCAACTTATCTATCTCTGTTTGCTGAATGGATTTCATTTTGCCTTTTTCATGCACACAAAGGCACAAAGGGTTTGATGGTCCTGATAAGGAGGCCAACAAGTCAAACTTATATCAGATATTTGAACACATTAATGTGTATTTTCTTTGGCTTCTGAAATTGAATTTTCCAAAGCATTTTATTTAAAGCAACCTATGTACCAAATGTTTTGATTTGAATACTTTGCTAAATCTAATGTGTGCTTTAGCGATTAACGTAATGTGCAAACCCCTTCTATATATTCCTGTTTTCTACAAGAGGCTTTAGTTCCAGGTAAATCGGTCTCAAGTGGGTCTTAGTTGGATGGTTCACTCAGGGCGTCAGGTCTCCTGGGAACTGCCGGATAGTATGTCAGCTACTACTTCCTCCTTCAGTCGGTAACAGGAACTGGCTGCTTTCCAGTCTGCTCCTGTGTGTGTGTTGTTGTTAGGAGACTGGGCAAGAAGCCCAGGTGCAGCTGAGCCCAGGTGTTCCTCTGTAAGGAACACAAACAGCACGTGCAAACATGAAGGGACAGACAGGCAAATGGAGAGGGATTGGTATCAGAGAGCACACCTGTTGATCACCTGCCCTATCGGCTCATGACACACCGATTCAGGATGTAGCACTTATAAACACATACACACACCTAACAGACGCCTTGGCACATTTTCTTTATAGTCAAGTCCTGCATCACACTGCAGACAGTGTCAGTCAGTAGTAGTATGATTTCCTTATATTCTCAGAAGTCCTACTTTTGAGTTTTTGTAACATTTTTTGTCGCTCTCTGCTCCCCCGCTAAGTTCTTCAGTCCCTGCATCATTAGGCAACACATCACAGATTAAGAGGGTGAAGGGAGGCTGGGATGTGCAGAACTAAGTCTGGCATTACTACACACCTCACAAAGCACAGGGGAGTTTCTAATCCACTGCACAGCATAATCCTGCTAATGCATTCATATCAGACATGCAGGAAACTGATGTGGGCTGAGAGCTAGATGCTGGAAGCGTTACTGTAGAGCTCTGTACTGACATTTTTGTTTTTGACATCGCAGTCCAGTTGGAGTTTAGACTGCAGGACAAAAGCTTGTACGCACAAAAACATGTAGTTTGACTTTAAGTGTGCATTTAGTTCTTATCAGTGTACAAATAGACGGCTTTGTGAAGCTGCAGCTGTTGTTTTTGGATAAATTGSCCAAGTCAAACAGAGGCAGCTCACCAACACATTGGTGTGTGTYGACACACAACTGACTGAATGAGCTGGATTACAAGTTTATCATTAGTTAGATCCAGATCCATGTGTTGCACCCTCCCAGTCACAATTCATGTATACCCACATCAGCTCTGTGACTACCTTCAAAGGCACAACTCTAACGGGTCAACTTCCTTGGTATTTAACATACTGTACAATGCTGATGAATAATTAAGACAGATTTGGTTCAATTTGTCTCRTCTCCTGTCATCTTGTCAGTAAGAATAAATCTTTAAAATAAAATTACTGAAGAAATGAAATTCTGTACATTAACTGGGGGGTGGGAATATGGTGTTATTTTCCAGGCACATTACCTTCAGTTGTTATGAAAATGCTGTATATATTAAAAATATGTTTGACTTTGTATCTAAAYGCCTTGCAATTGGGCTATGTCTCTTTGAGAACCTCCTACCATTTACTCCAATTGATTTATTTGGCATTCGTCTTCCACATTCTGTACTCATTCATTTCAGTTATCTTTGCAAGATTGTTTTTATTTATGCTTTTACTATCATTCGACATCCACGACCCCCTGCCAGTTATGAAGAATTTAGTGATGGTGAGGAAGAAGGAAGAGGACATTAAATGTGCGACCACCAGTAGCACTTTCTGACATRCACCATCAGTTCTGTCTCTTCGCCATATTTGCCTAATGGAGGCAGAGCAGAGTGTGTTTGAAAGAGAGCTGGGTCTTTCCTGTCTTGGAAAGAAATTCTGTGCACGTGCATGTGTGCGATAGAGATAGGGACTAAATGAGCTTGTGGAGGGTCTGACCCCCCCTCGTTTCTCACCGGTCCGTCAGAGAGACTGACCGCTTCACTGGAGCATGGCCACAGGCAYGGTGCTGAATGCTGAAAATAAGTGGCACTAACACCATTCCAAAACCAAACTGAAACAAAACGTTCAATCTATAAAGTAACTAAGTACAAATACTTTGTTACTGTACTTAAGTAGAATTTTTGGGTATCTATACTTTACTTGAGTAATGATTTTTTAGTCTACTTTTTACTTCTACTTACATTTTCACACAATTATCTGTACTTTCTACTCCTTTCCTTTTTTTTAAAAAAAAAGCAAGAAGTAGAAAGTCGTTACTTTGATTTAATTTTTGCTTGTTTTCATTCCAGCTTGTTATTGTAAAAAATAAATAATATCCATATAAATTGTGCCTCCTACATAGAGTGAATTTAATTGTGGTTGAATGAGAAGTATACATATACTGTATAAAACTCTGATACTGTATTAAGCAAATCATGTCACACTCCAGCAGGACATAATCATTAAAATAAAAGGACTGTACTTAAGAAGTATTTGTATTTCATGAATTATAGTATTGCATTTGGCCGCAGCCTTCGGATAGATTTTCATTTTGGGGAAAATGTTTGGACACCCTTGATTATATGTATAAAAAACTGAAACAGCTAGATTATTGCATACTAAATTTAACATAAATTATTTTTAATACGATGTAGTCATTTCTGCATTTTTTTMTTTTTWKGGAGGTCACCCCCTAATAAATGTCCTTAAGTAAAATCTAACTGCTCATTTTAAATCAATACTTTTACTTTTAATACTTAAGTACAAAAAATAACAGATACTTCAAGACTTTTACTCAAGTAATATTCCTAAAGGAGACTTTAACATTTAGCAAAGTAATTTTTTGGTAAGATATTTGTACTTTTACTCAAGTATCACTTTGTGGTATTTTATACAGCTGGTGATGTCACATTTTTGTTTAGAGAAAAATCTAAATTGAAGCCAAGACTAGCGTGTTCTAAATACACACCGTCTGGTTCATTTATAATTATGATTCATGCCTCCGTAAACAGCCACGCACATATTCGTATGTTTCCCATCGCTGCAAGAGTGGGAAAGTGTGGCTCTGTACATGCCCTGTGTATATGTAAGATGGTGCAAATGCTAGTTGCAGGCAAAGCATAATTACTCTTGGTGACAAAGCTTACATGACTAATGAGCAGAGTTTGGGTGCTGGGTGTCTGGCTCATTTGTCACAGGTTGGTAGGTAAAACTTCAGCTCCGGCGGATTGCTGTTAAGGTAATGCTAATGGCTCTTACAGAGCTACTGCCTGATTAATTTCCTGCTTGAGCACTGACAGTTGGAAGATAAATGTCACATGACCTGAAATGATGTCACTCCTATGTCCCTCTGTCGTTGCAAGTATGTACTGGAAAAAGATACATTTGAGCCTTTAAGTCTTAATTCTATTAAGGTTATACTGGTTCTCAAGGGCCATTCTCCTGCATGTTTTACTTGTTTCTCTAATCCACCTGATCTGACTGAAATGGTAATTACCAGGCTTCTGCAGAACTTGAAGAGGTTATTCAATCACTGAATCAGGTGTTAGAGCAGGGAAAAGAGTAAAACATGCTGGGTAGYGGCTCCCGAGGACCAGGATTGTCCACCTATGGGCTAACATGGTTTTGTTGAAAGTAGTCATCACACAATCTTGAAAGTTCTTCATATTTTATTATCACAGTATTGTCTTACATTCCAAAATAGAAAAGCTGACAACTCGTGCAACACAAAATTGAAAAGTCTCAAAATCAACAAAATTTAGTAACAGAATAAACCATGATGCAACGATTAAAACTGTCATGCATCCCCATCTGAACCAATACATTAAGCTGCAAGATTCCTCCCACCATTCTGATGTCAAAGCTCTTGTAGTTGGTAATGGTGGCCTTTTTAGATAACAGGTGTCATGTTTGAAGGCCTATTAGAGCTGCCTGACTATTGTTCCACATGCGAGTGACTCGGGGTTGGAGGAGGGTCTGGATGTACCAGAGCTGTCGGGTGAGGGTACGGGTGCATGCTAATCATAATGGTTTCTTTGACATGTAGTCTTTCACAAGAGGTCGGGAGGTTATGGGAGAAAAAGAGGGAAAAAAGGCAAAAAAAAAAAAAACTGAAAGCTTGAAAATCGGTCTCACATTTCAGGAAGCATTTCTGCAACAGAACACAATCAGACAMAGATTTAAGACTTATTTTCGTTTAAGAATGAGAAAGAAGCTAGGAATGAGCAGAATCTCAAGGCCTCTTGTGTATTTGTTATTGCCCTCAAAGTACTTTGTAAAAAATGTCAATTAAAATTTCCAGATAACACATAACTGCATCGTTTTTAGGTGTAGTGGACAGGAGCAAAAAAGCCAAGTTTTTTTTGTGATGAATTAAAAGAAATACTCGGGCTTAAACAGCTGATTGAAGGTCAGATGTTGCACCTCGCAGGACGGAGACGTTTCACTCATCTTTATGCAGACATCATACATTCATTAAGWTGACATCAGTCTGGACAAATTGGAAAAATGTAAACACATTCCTTCAAAAAAGTTAAATAAATCAGCTCACCTTGAGTAAGTCATCACTCATCTCCATAATTTCAATCCAAATGTAAGAACCAGATCACATTTACATTGATTCTCCTAMACACGTCTGCCTCCATGCGTGTGCAGACGTTGCACTGCATCATTCTGTATTCTGCACACATGTTCAATCAGCACCGTGGCTTCGTGGATTCTAATCTCACACTTTGTGATCCGGAGATATTTGCGAGGAGGTGGTTTGTGCACTGGAATGTGAGTAAAGTGTTTGTCTGAATGTGACAGGAGCTGCAGCAGCAGATTTACATTTTTCTATTAATGGGGGAAAGAAAAATAAAAAAATAAAAATGGGACGTAACCGTGCAGAATATGATTAACGGCGCCTACTGTAGTCTGCACCACAGTTTGGAACTCAGAATTCAGAATAGAGGTTTAAACTTTGCTCTTTTAACCTGAGGAAAACGTAAAAAAAACAGTCTTTAATTTATGTTTTAACTGATTAACAAAAAAACACTTAAATGACTAAGATAGAACACATGAGCTCAAAAAAGCTTCTGTCACCATGTTGCATAAAAGATGTAAAAGATAAAGGATGGCTAAATTGGCCAACCCCAAATCGAGAAAAAATATATTTTGCATATTTTTTGCAGCCGTTTAGATTTTCACGAGGACACATTAGCCTTGTGCTTGTAGTTTTTTATGATCCCAACTTGTCCGTATATCAAAATCTGTTTGGTCCACCCTCCAAACATTTCTTAATCCATGTCCACATCAAGGTTGATCTCGGTACTCAGGTTCAAGTAGAAGAAGGCGTAAACACAGAGCACAAAGAACAGAATGGCTGCCACGACCAGGAATGCATCCTGAAAAACAAACAAAAAAAACAACAACACTTGAACAGATTCAAGTGATTAAACAAATCAAACTGTTGTAAAGTGAGTCATCAGATAGAGAAGACGTTACGCCACCATCTCAAACTCTTATGCAACTAAAATCAAAGTTTTTATCAGATTTGGAAGCTGCGATGCATGGAAACAAAAGCAAAACTAACAGGTTAGTTTCCTCTTTTCTCCAAGATGTTTTAAACTGGAAAACAGAAGGGGGGGGGTTGTTTTAGAGAGAGCAAATCTGGTCAGTCGCACCCAGCTAAATACTCAAAATGCATGTGATCTTATTTTGGAGTTAGAAGTTCTCTCTGTAATTATGGCCAACAGCTTTACTGAGCTTCACATGCATAAACATTCACACAGAAAACACAGAAAATCAGAATATAACCCACATGAAGACAGTGTAACACTAACTGAGCTTGCTACTTTTGGTGTGTTTTACATGGAAAAAATTGACAGCTGAAATGTTTTATGTAGCACCAAAGTCTCCAAACATGACCTGAGGAGAGGTAAGTGCTCAAAGATTTTTTTACCCCTGACTTCACTTTTAGAAGGCAGCTAATGGTGTCTGGTGCAACTAAACTTGAAAAACGTTTTTATTTGAATAAAAATAAAATAGACTATTGGTTACAATAAGCAGGAAGAATGRGGGGAAAAAAACACAAAAACATTGTTGAAATTTGTATTCTGAACGTGCCTGATCACAGCAAATGATCTGTTTATATGTGAATAATTTATTCACACTCATTTATACTCATTTTCTGCATGATTGCCGACAAACCCGATTTTGTGTCTGACTTTCAGTCAACATTTACTTCAGTTTGTGATAAGTGTTTTTATGCACAAATCTAAAAAAATCAACTTTGGTGCAAAACTTCAATTTCTTTCCTTTTCTTTGATTGAACAAACAGCCTCTCAAGTTAAAATACAGTGTATTTGTGCAGTTATAAAAATATTTTGTCTTTATTTCATTGTTCAGTCATTTAGTGGCTCCATAAAGTCTTATCTATTGCTAAGATGGAGTTGATTTGATCTTTATCAAACAGCTGTGGTATAAATTAGGTTAAACACATTTTTATCTAATCATTTCTGCTGTCAAACGATTCTTTTTGTTATCAGTTTGCTACATTTTAATCAAACCAGAATATAACCTTTAAGTTCATGTTTTGACATTCTAATTTTCAAATCATCTTTTCAAAAGCATTTTGCGTTTTCTACATTTTTTTTTTTTTACTCCTGTAGCAGAAAACAGAAGCAAGGGGCCGATGGAAGGCCACAGCAGCAGAAACAGATGTGTTTTCAAACGGAGCCGTGTTTGTGTGGAAACGGTTTCGGACTCTTTAAAGTAAAACAAGCCAACTCGGTGGGAGTTCTGTTTCTGACGCATCCATCTGCGCTTTAATGACAAACACTCAGCTGCTTCCAGGGATTCTCTGCAGGAAACCATCACATGTTGAAAAGAACGTAAGAGGAGGTGACAGCGATGATAAATACGGAATCCATCTTTTATAAATAGCAGAAAGACTGTAGATAATAATTCCATTAAACCAAGATAAGACAAACAGATATGCTTTCTAAAAAAACAGAAATACTTATTTTTTGAGGTTTGTAAAATGTGGACTAATTTAAAAAGTAGAAAGAGGAATTCTAATTATGTTGTTACCTCAAGATAAAGATTATTTTCTTCAGTTAATAAATTCAGTTTTAATGTAAAAATGATTTGCAGTAAAATTATTTAAAAAAATCTTTATCAGAACAAGAGGTTTTTAATATAAACCTTCAGGTTTTTTTATGTTTTCTTGATGTAAAAATAATAAATTTTCTGGTTTATGTGTTGAAGGCCATTCATTCTTTTTGAGTTTCCTGTTACAAACTWATGTGCCACCCGGAAAAAAGACCACAAATTTCACAATAACGACTCACAAACTGATTAATATAACTCAGCTATAGTTTGGTTAAAGATGAGGTGAAGTTTCCTATAAATGTTTTCAGGTAAAAACGAATGATTCTTAGGTTTCTCTGAGTTTAACGGAACATTTAACCACACGTTTACAATTTCTGGCAGATCATTATAAAGTTGCCTACATTTRGTCAGGATGACCATTAGTTGTCGATTTTACACGCCACATGTTTTCTATTTAGACTGTGCTTTCTGGTAAGTTCATAAAATCAAAATTGTGACCAGATGTTTGCTTCAAAAACAAATCGTGTGTTTTCACCCCGTCACGGCAGACTTCTGCCATCCTCTGCAATATCTGCCAACATGTCACAGCGACGTTAGCATAACGTCCCTCCCACAGCTCAGCAAAACAGAGCTACGTGACACCATTTATTATTCTTCAACTTTACAGGAGTTGTAAGCTGTAACTGTAAACTTATTCCATTAATGGCACTTCAAAAACCTAAACCTACTATAATTTTTGTAGGAAGCAAATTATATTTATTTCTGCATCCAGTCCATCTTGAAATAAGAAACAGAGCTTGAGGTCTTTTTAGTTTGCCTATATTTATATTTTTTGCCTGTTTCATAGGATGTGTAACATTTACGTGTGTTGTAATTTAGTGATAATTTGAGTCTTGGAAAGGACACTATTAAAAAAATAATGAGTTTTAATTTCCTTTCTAAATGAAGGTCAAAACAAATAAACAGATGCAATATTTTCCAGTTTCAAATTTTAAGGGCCAGACGTTGAAGGACCAATAGATTAAACTCTACCTGCACTTTTCTCAGTTCGCAGTAAAACTTTCTTCAACAATGAAAAACTGGCCTATTTTAAAAAGATTTTCTATTGGTTAATTGTCAAACAAATTGAGGCTTTCCAACAAAGTGGTATTCAAGTTGAAAATGGGAATTTGGAGCACTTGTTCATAATGTGGTGCTCACACGATTACAATCTTCATCAGCTGGAGTTTCATTAGGGGCACTCAGAGTATTGAACAATGCCAGTAATTCTTTATCAAGAGAACTCATTAGCTGCAAACTTTCTAATCAACACTAGAGAGCTTGGAGGGCTTTAAGAGAGTGCAGAGTGCAGTCTGATTGAAGGTTATGCAAAAAGAAATATTTGGTTTGAACTTAAGAATACACGTTACAAGCATAAGGTGACTGAAATCACTGCGGATATTAAGAATTTAATCCTCTGGCTACAAATGTTTTCTGTACACAATTAGTGGATTAGAAAGAAGGGGTACACGAGTCGAGACTAAATAATAGGAAAATTATAAAAAACATTCAAAAAACGTGACATTTTGACTTAATTATAAGTTCAATAACGTTCAAACGAAACAAGCAGAATCCAGCCCATCGGCAGAACTGCAAAGAGAAAAACAAGTGAAAATGAAAGAAGAAAAAAAAACAAGCGATAAGGATTAGCTCAAATGAGGGGTGGTGGGGGGCTAATAATAATAATAATTCCTCTCCGACTCAGACGATGGGGGTTGGGGGGATGACAATTAAAAGGCGTCAGCATCCACACAGCTATCCGTGCGCATGTTGTAGCGCCTAGTCATCAGCCGCATTGGTCTTCATTAGCCTCGGCCCACATTTATCTCTACCCAGCAGCCTCCAAACAGCTTAGAGTCCTTGCTTAATTGGAAAACTTTTAAATTTCATGCACTCTAGTTTCATATATTAACCGCCAGGCTTCCAGCCRCTTGATTTACTTTTCTATTTCGCCTGGGCCTACGAGAAACGGGAACCGTTATCGAATCACAAAGGCTTGATTGCTGCCCCGCTTGTTTTCTTGTGTTTTCTGGCAGCTTTGAAAATAAAACAAAGAGTGGGGTTTTTTTCTGCTGGTTTTGTCGACGGCGTTGCGAGGAAAATGTTTTGTTTCAGACAAAAGAGGAGTATTTCCCTGAATCTGACGGAACAAAAGAAGACGCAACACTGCAGTTCAGGTCCCACCCCCCCAACCCGCCCGCCTGCACTTCTTTATGAGAACAGCTGGTTACAGTAACTTGTCTATGAAAACAAGCTGGAGGGGTTTTGCTGCAAACACTCGAGCCGCAGAAAACACCTGCACTTGATTGAGATCATTGTTTTCGAGGAGAGTAGCCCACTGTGTCGACTCTCGCCCCGTCTCGCGTTTGCGCACTTGTATACGAGCGCACACAAATACACACCCTCAGACGCAAACGCGCGGCCTCTCTCGCCCACATTTTGATGGAGACCTCTGGATGGGGGGCCCCAAGCACATCATCATCTTCATCACGTTGCTCTCGGCAGCTGCAACAAACTCAGCATGCTGGGAGCCCGGTCCCYGTCGCCCTGGCGACAAGCCACATCTCAGCAGACGTCCCCTCATCTGGTCTGATTTTCATTCTCCTCCTGGGTTTGTTTGTGCGAGTGTGTGTGGGCATGTGTGCATCAGTCTGTACGCTCCTATGTGTTTGTGGCTGAATGTGGACACACAGAAGCTGCAAGAGACTGAWGCTGCTTTTAAACTGCGGTCATGATGCTCATCTTATTTTTAGTCAAAACAAAAACGCTCCAGACTTTTAGTGATTTTTGTCTGTATGATGATTTTTTTCTGCTTTGTGAGAGAAATTAGATATATTTGACATTTAACACAAATAGTGTTTTGAAAAAAAGTCATGAATGTTTAAAAAAATAAACACAGTTTAAAACTGTTCATTGTTCATAAAAAATGTTTTATACATAAATGCCTGGTCAAAATTATGTCAACTGAGCAGTAAATGTGTTTGTAAAACTGTGTAACTAGTTCCCACCTGCTTGTATGGATGTAGGAAGATAGTTGATTTAATTGATTTAATGAAATTAATTAATTATATCCATCAGTTTTCATGTGATTTTGCACTATTCCTGCAGCTCACCCTTTTTGACATTTAGGCATTTAAATTTTATTATTCAGCTGCATTTCAAAATGGAGTGAACTCAAATGAAAAAGATATCAAAATATGGAAGAGTTCAAATTGGGATGGGGGTTGGCAGCTAAACTTTCATCCAGATTTTTAGCAAATTTTCCCCTCATAGTTTTGGCTTTGTTTTTTAGTAAAGACGTTATTAATAATGAATTTGAATGACATAAAATTTCTTCATAAATTAATTTCACAAAAATACTTAAAACATATAACACAGAACTCAGAAAGTTTTAAGGAAAGGTTCAACAGGAGGGTATTAAAGAAAATTTAATGTTCAAGGCATTTCAGCGTTCTTTACAAGCAGTGGTGGGCACCAGCCCGCTAAAGCGCAAATCTGCTAATTGCGGACCTAAATATTTTGTTTGCGCTTTAGCGGTCTTATTAATTTTTAAAATTCATAAGTGGATTTGCACTTTCTAAAATTAAAATGCAGTACCGCTAATAACTAATTATCTACCAGTCATCATTATCTTGAACAGCGGAAGGTATGGCTGTCAATGAATCACAACACACATGATCTATCCAACAGCACCCCTCCCAGATAAACATACGTATTGGAAACGTATACATCCTTGCTGACTGTTGCTTTCGGTCATGGTTCTCATTTCCCACAATGCTTTGTGTCTGCTTACGTAGCAGGAAGGCAGTGTTTAGAACTCCCTGTCTCAGCTAAAACAGTTAATGTTTGTAATCCATACTAAAATTTTGTATGTATTGATTTATTTTACTTTACAAGCGGAGCTCCTTTTTTTAAAAAAAGAAGTTTAAATGCTGGAAATCAATACTTGACGTAATTGGTCAAAGCAATGGGGTTAGAGACGCCAAAATGATTTAAAGATGTTATGCTGATGAAGACTCATATCTAGTGGTCAACTAGAGCAACTACATGGAAAACTTTAAAATACAAGCTCTTATTTTGAAGGGAAGATACACTCACCGGCCACTTTATTAGGTACACCTGTCCAACTGCTCGTTAACACTTAATTTCTAATCAGCCAATCACATGGCGGCGACATGGTCAAGACAATCTCCTGCAGTTCAAACGGAGCATCAGTATGGGGAAGAAAGGTGATTTGAGTGCCTTTGAACGTGGCATGGTTGTTGGTGCCAGAAGGGCTGGTCTGAGTATTTC